TTATTTCCGTCGAAATCAAGCAACCGTCTGTTTATGTATAAAAAATGAGAAGCTCGAGAAAAACTCCATAGAGAGCTTTACAAGAAAAGTGTGTAATAATAAGTCGAAATTAAAGGGCTTCATTATTGCGTTGAACTAACAAATGAAAAAAGGACGTGCCCCACGAAACTGCTCATCGGAGTTTCGCATAAAAGCTGAAAGTGAAATATTTATTAAAGTATTTATCAAATATATATTATCACATACATATACTACCATGCAACATTATAATAATAGTACAGGAACTTATAACGAGTTTATAAATACGATTCTATGGAAATGCATTCAGAAACCTTATACAAGGATACTGAATAACAAAATTCAAATAACAAAAGTCTGTCTGAACCGAGGGTTAATTAAGCCCAGTACGCAGAATGTTAAAAAATAAAAGAAATTATTGTGGAATATTAATAAAAATTCCACGACTGTTGAACAGAAACTACTTTCGTTACAAACGAGTTAGTGTATTTTTCTAACCATCTTAACGAGAGAAAGAGAAACGGGTCAAGAAACACGAAGCTGTAAGGAAATCGGCACTCTTTCGTTACAATCAAACTTTTTAATCTGCCTTTGAGACTCTGTGGAAAAATCGCAAAGTTTACGACACTAAGGATGATTGGATGTTCAAAGAATTGACACTGTTACAAGGCTCGCCAAGGATTTCCCAGTTGATCGTCAAACTGTACGAAAGAATTCATCTAAGAAGGATCTTTTCTAGAGAGGGAAAGAGATGGAGAGTGTTGGTGTGTGACGACAGGATACTTCGTTTCGCCCGACAAAGCAAAAATCGCTTAATATCGAGTGAAACAAAGCAGACAGGAGAGTACTTTGGCGTGGGAAAGGACAACGGTACAGTCTGTATGATGCCTCGTCGGGCACGGGGCGTTCATTCTGCAAGCGACAGACCATTGTTTTGTGGATAAGCCGTTTTTATTAAACCGGATGATTATTCCGACGTCGAGCATCGACGATGGACAGAGTAGATGGAAATCGATCGGTGTCTCAGACGTAGTCATTAAAAGCAAGGCTTACCTTGTCGCGTGTCTTCGTCCTCGCAGGCTGATCCGGCTCCTCCAGCTCGATACCAGAGATTTCGCACGCTTTAACCCTTACATCGGCCTACACTATCTCATCATTCAAATTTATTTGCGTCTAATTATGCTTTGAAATTAAAACTGTACCAAAAGAATATTACGTTTTACGTTACACGTTGGTCTGATAACCGTAGGTATCCGGATACCGATATAAGAGACGTAACAAATGTTTTGTCGATGGAAACGTGGACTAATTTTACAAATATGTCTATTACAGATTTTACGTATGATTTCGAATTTGTAATACTTATGAAGAAATATAAAAGTACGTCACAAGGATCTATCTCTGTATGAACGATTGTTTGATGAGTCGAAATAGGCCACCCCGAGAGTTAATATTCCGCCGACATAACGCAATCACCGTTAAACGTTTCGCCGACATCCTTACACGCCGAGAACAGGATGGTAAGTGACGATTGGCTCCCGAAAATTCACGAACGACCGTCGTTGTTTTTCGGTTTTGGTCGTCGGGAAGAATTTGGACGAGTACGTGCAAAAACTGAGCGATCCTTGAAACGTAATCGCGCGGAACGTCGTGTAGCTGCAAGGTAGCCTGGTAACACAACGACCTTGTTACCAAAACAACTCTCAACTACCGAAATCAAGACCGGTGAAAATAGTTCGTGTATCGTGTCTCTCAATTTCGTCAAAATTATTGCCACGTCTTCGTCCACAACATTCGTAAAACGTAATGGAAAATATAAAACATAAACGAAGGGCTCTTTTGACCGAGTCTACGCTGAAAAACGACCGAAGCAGAGGAGGAAATTTCGTCAGTATTTGTGCAGGAACTCAATGCCTATAGTTGTAAAAGTATTACAGAGATTGAAGTTTGCCTCACTCCTTTGTGGTGTAGATCCGATTCGAGATGCAGAAGGAAATATCCTAAGAAGGCTCAAGGGGTTCCAGCACGGTCTGCAAATCGCAGACCGTTTCTCCGAGATTCTTTCAGGGAAAGCGAAAGGAAAACCGAGATCAAAGGAGCGGAGGAGAAGGATGACAAGACAGATAAAAGATCAAGCGAAGGAGTGAAAAGGAACAAAGAAAGATAGCAAAGAAATATGAAAAATGAAACAAAAGGAACGCGGGGAAAAATGGGGAAATAGAAAAAAGGAAAATGGTAGAAGGGGACGACGAGAAGGAGAAACGGTTGAATAAAAGGGAAGAGAAAAATACGGAAATGTACTTCCGTGTGGGCTTCATCGTGTAGGTATAGAAGGCAACCCTGTGGGCGGCCAATCAAATAAAGTAGTCCGAGGTTGCTTTGCCGGATGCAAATTTGGCCCCCGTGGGCTTTCTGTTTCCCCTCTCTCCGTTCTCCCTTCTCCCGAAAGGCTTTCCTCACCAACAACCCCTAGCTGAAATCTGTACACGAGTTTCCGGGTCACGTGAAAATCCTCTCGCTGCCCACTAATACTGTATATTCCCCCTTCGTATTGTTCACTTCAGCCCTTTCCAATTCCGACCTACGAAAAAGCATCCTGTTCGTTCTATCGCTCCGAGTCGGAACTCGGATCTACGAAAAAATAACGTCAATCTTGCGAAAAACTATCGGACTATCGTTGTTTTCCTTCGTAAACAGGAAAAAGTAACGGAAAAATCGGCAAAATATTAAATTTATTCTCCCTAACGAAACGTATGTTGTTAAAAAATATTAACAAAACTAGGATATCCTTTTATAAGTGCTCCAATTTTATTTAACGATGTTATATGAATTATAAGAAACAACGTTTGATCTCAAACTATCAGAATTATTCTGCATTCTGCTCAAATATAGAATTAGTTTCATTAATCGATAAGCAATACAATGCCCCCAAAAATAAAATGAAGATCGTGATCCATTACTACTCAAAACACAACAAAACTGAAATTAATTTCGTAGTACTTTACGTTTTGACGACTAGGGGCTGTCGACAAAGATAATTAACAAAATATCTATCGTGTCGTTTCCGCTTGGATTCGAGGTTCAAATCGATGTACGATAAATTCCATCCACAACACTTTTCAGTTATCAAATCGGTAATTTCATACGTAACGACCTGACAGTTACGAAACGAAACAAATAGCGTGAAGTAATCTTGAATTTTGTGCTTTTCCATTCCGTGCACGAGATCTAAGAACAAAACTTGCCGACGTTCTATCTATTAAAGGACCGTATCCCTGACGACATTCGCAAGACTTTACTTACAACTTGTGTCCGTGTGGGCGTCTCGGTGGGCGTTCGAGCACACGGAAACACGCCGGAGACGAAATCGAATCGCGAGTCTCGTTCCTAATTATGTCGTAATGAAAATAAATCGTTACATTTGTACGACTGTCGTGTCTCCTCGGACATTTTCGCAAGATCGTTCTCCCCGTCCGTTTCACCCTTTCTCTCTTTCCAACCAAACACGCTGCTCGTTTTCTTCGGGTTCTACGCCACCTGTTTGATTCTCTCTAAGGTACACCGCTATCTATTTGTCTATTTCGGCGTTTCTACGCTTCTCCCCTTTCTGGGCCCGCGTCTCCGACAGAATTCAACCTCCGTCTTATATCCCGAGCTCACCCTGCTGTCCCGTTTGAACAATCAATTCCAATTTCACGGGAATCTCTTTTAAATCTTACACTTTCCGTGTTTCACCCGAGACCTCCGTCTGGGACTTCCACGGATGGAGGCATTCGACGGATCGAACAATGTAAGCCAACGGTAGCGATAATCTTTACTGTAGATCAACTTTAACCCCACGATTATTCAGAAGAAATTGCTTCTGCACGAATTATATGCACTTAATAAAGAAACACACGTGTGTACATACATATCTACTTATACTGTAATATCATGCAGAATGAATAGTTTAGAATTTATCTATTTGCCTCACCTTTCAAAAAGTTTTGAGTACCTTCAAAAACAAAGCTGTCCTTCCTTCAAAGGCGAATTTTCGAGGGAAGCTGAAAAGAGAATAAGGTTGCCGTTCAATCTAGAAGTTACGTGATTAGAAATTCAATTTGTCACTTATCTGTTTACTCGACACGAGATGCTTCGTTAAGAGAGAAAAGGGAGACGAGTACACGAATTCATAGTAATTGCAACACCTTTACGTTTATTTGTAACCTATCGATAAGATCTGTAATAGTACAATTGTAGTAATTATAATTTGATGCAGTAATATGTACAACCAAAAAGATACTTAAGACATAAATATAGGAAAATATTTTACACAGGCGAATATCTGCAAATTCAAATTCAAGGCGTTTAAAACAACGATCGGTCTATCATTTCTTTACAGCCCTCAGAATCCGTTTCGGCAACACTCTGCACGCGAAAACGTTACAATCTTATCGTCGGCGATCGAGCATTTCCAGTCGTGTTTGAGCAAACATAGCTAACACTCGACTCCAACGCGATTCCACTTCTCACGATATGATTTGCATGCATTGGGTCGTCCAATAAATTCGTACCGTTTTTTGTTTCATGAACAATTCAAGCCAACAGAGATCGAATGTTTACTTTGCACGCAATTACAATGCTTGTGTGTTCCTCTATTTAAAATCTCCTTATTTGCATTTCCATTTTGTTACAAATTTAAACCCATAAAGCGTCAAAGTTGCCGAACACGAATGTTTCCGACACCTTCTGGAGTTTAATCGAGGTTGCACCGCGTACCAAGCTGCTCGAAACTCGAAACATATGTGTCGTTCGTGGGGAAGATTCCATTCGAGAGAGAACCACGTTTCCGGAACCGGTAATTTTGATGTCCTCGACGAGTCTCGTTGTAAACAAAAATCGATTGGAAGACTGAATTCTGAAGGAGCCTCGTCAAGCAACCCGCGAATTAAGAGTTCAACAATTCGAAGGATGGATTTCTCGTTTTACTGTTCGTCGTAATCTTTGTCATCATCGTCCATTTTTAAAGACGATTATTATTAGATACGAAACACGATGTCTGTAATACGAAGGGGGCGCACGAGTCCTGACGAACAAGCAATATTTGGTGGTATTGGAAGCGTATAATCACTACGAATTGATAGAGAACAATCAAACAATTAATGCCCAGTTATACAGCCAGCAAGTTCGCCTATTGATCGATGTCATTAAACGGAAAAGCCCAATTCGTCAACGTGGGGTGATACTTCAACGTGATAACGCCCGACCGCATGTTGCAGCTATGACAAAAATAGCTATTCGAGAGCTTGGTTGAAAGGTCCTCCCACATTCACTTTACTCCTCGATTACAGACTTATCCGACACCCACCTATTTCTATTGTCTCCTTCGAAACTAACGAAAAAAATTGGTTCAGTTCGTCGGCGCTGAACCGCGGGAATTTTTTTCTTCGATGTTGTACAAAAGCTAATCGAACGTTGGAACGAGATTGTAAACAGAAAGAGATAAATATTTTCTTCAATGATATGAAATTATTGGACAACCTAACAGATGCACGCCGATAGAAGAACGCTGATAGTAAATGAATAAATATATGTGCAGTAAATATCTCTTAACAAATTCTGTCACCAGTTTAATTCTTACTCTACGAGTCGCTGCCTCTTAAATCTAATTTCGACGTGTCGCGCGTTTCGCATTTACCACCGGAAACGCGTTTATAACCGATATAGAAAAAAGTAGGTGAACAAACACGCGAGAGACGTTGCGACAACGCCTCCCCCTCGGACGTATGATACAGTAAAACTTATGTTACAATAATCAGCGATCAAAGCCTTAGATAATAACACGTGAACGCGGATACCTCGACGTTTACGGGTGAATTTTCCGTTTCCACTGACGCTCGTAATGTACACGCTCTTCCCCCGTTTCATCTCTCTCGTAGTTTTGATCGTTAACTTGTGAAATTTGTTCACGACGCCGACACACCTCCAACGCGCTACAATTCCCACGAGTGAGATTATCAACTAAGCGACTTAATTAATTAAGCCTAAGGATAACGTCGGAGAACTTGCTGCGAGATATGAATGAATCGCGCGACTTAAGTCTCGGTTGTTTCTGTACAAACGGCATTATCGATACAAAGATTCGTCACGGTCGACGCTAGCTCGACTACCAGGAGTTAGAATCTCCCGAGCATTCTCGAAGGTGAACCCAAACCATGATCGTACACGTAAATTTCAACCAATTACCTATCTACGACATAAAATATATAAATAAACCATAATCGCTTATGAAGTAACCGACGCTCGATCATCTCTGGACTTTCGTACGGACTTTTACCTTTCATGGGTTATCCTTTGATTAAATGATCAAACAGTCGCGCGATCAATTTGCATTGTTTTTTTTTTTTTTTTCGTTACTGTATGAATATCAAAACAGATTAATGCAGATAAAAAAAAATATTCGCTGCATTTAGATGTGCAGACACGAAGGGGATAGATAGAAATATTGTATGATCGTCTACGTATCTGCGTTGATAAAGGAGTTGTACGGTAATCTATATTTTCTTCGCACGAACAGTATCTCCACACGCTCTTCGAGTCATGGTTACGTTGAAAAACAATTCCCTTTTTTTATCACTATATGTCATGTTTCCGTTCACTTGAATTTGTACAGCTTTTTCTCCCATTATGCATCGGCCACTTCATAAAAGTCATCCTCATCGTTGCAGTACGAAATTCGAAAAGTTCTTTGTTCGTACTGAGACTTTTGTTCACGAAAACGGGACCTCCCCTCCAGGCAACGTGAGAAAAGAAAAGATACATACTGAAGTTTCGATTTGTTATGTTCATGGATCGCAGTCCCGGTATTTTTTTGCAATTTCGCCAGATATAACTGTCCCGTTTCGAGGTAAACGTAAAAGGTACAATACCGTTTAAAATTCGACAGTTCTAGAAACTGTTTATGCATGAAGATCAATCATCCACACTGTTCGGTTGCATTACCCATTCGGACCATTAAAATTCGACGCCATTGATCTATGAATGCTCGATGAACCAAAGCGATCGGCGCTTTAAAGAAAAGCTCGTTCCTCGATTCCGGTCGAAACGAAAGTCAGAAATTTCTAAAATCTATCCTAACCTCTTTACAAACAGTTAAAAAGAATCCGCCTCGGAAAACCTCGTTCCGTCACCTTCGTAGTTATTCGTCTTTCTCTCTGACCCCGGGAATACGATATTGCAAACGTTAATCTCTTGGTAGGAGTGTATTTCCTAGCTATCTGGTCCCGTGCACGATGAAATCCAGTTACTTATCTCGTTTCATCCCTACCGATCTTCAGTTCCCCGGTTACTCGTTAAAACCTGACACCCCAGGTTTCAGGCCGCTCCGCCGATGGACGGGCTTTCCCAGACTTTCGATATCGATACGTTATAAAATAAACGTTTTATTTGCCCCTGTATGATCCACAGCGAACGATACAGCCCGTGTCCAATTGTCTGGGATCCTCGAGATTTTTCAGCTCCGGGACGCTCTGAAATGACAACCTCTTCTCCCAGGCTATCCGCTATGCAACTGGCATGGCTCGAGGCATTTAGTGTTCTTGCTTGTCCTGATAGGACGCCGTTTCCTTCCGGGTCGCTTGCGTAGCCTCGATCACTTCAAAGCCTTCCGACGTAGAAATATCTGTGGACGATCCATTGTCTCCTACCTCGGAAGAGGAAATAGCGCTACCAGATGTTGGCGCTGCTGATTTCGCTTCCGTGCTCGTATCGGTGCTCGTGCTCGACGCCGCTGGGCTCCCTGTTGCTAAGATCCCAAGTAACGTTCAGCTTCTACTCGCTAAAAGTAACCAGGAACATGCGCAAGCAAGAAAGCAAAGGGAACAGGTGTAAGCAAAACGAAACAGACGATTGGGAAGCCATCGGCGACGGTCATGCAGATGAAATTGCACGGATGATGCCCTAGATAATGTGTTTTGACGAGCCAGCATACTGATATTGTTGTATGTTGCTGGTCAAATATTGGTGTATCCTTATGATGTTTGCTAGTATCATTTAGTTGGGAAATCATTCGACACAGATCGCCATTTTCAGTGCACTGCATCCTTTCAATTGTGTACAAGTAATAGATCAACTGAATATTTTGAATGTAGTATAATGTGACGATGCAGCTTATGCTTCCTTTGTCATGAAAATTGGCATATCACAAATATGTGGCACGTGGTAATGAATGCATTCGTGATTAGTAATACCGAAAGATTCGTTAAAATCGCAAAGAATAGAACCATTTACATTTATTCCAGCCAGTGAAATGTAATTAGATAAGAACATGCAATCGATTCAGAATAAATCTGTCAGTTCAGTTAGTTCAACACTTCACATAAAAAGCACTCGATAAAAAAAGAAATAAAGATAAAACGATTATCGTTATTAGCTTTCGTTTTACCCTATTTAATTACGCAAATCGGTGATTCTAGCTTCCGATCCCGACATTTAAACAACTCCTAGATAAACAATCTCTCTAAATATTATTCGAAACAACAATGCTTTTGAATCGAGGGCAGGTCGCCACTTCAAATTCTTTGACGTACCGGTTTCAGTCGTTAAAGGGGTTATCGATTGCACAGATCACCAAAAACAACGGTAAATGAAATTAAAACAGAAGAAAAGAATCGGTGCCAATTCGACAGTGCAAATTGAAACGCGATTCAAAGGTATCGCGTGCCAAACAATTCGCTGACGCGTTAGAGCGACGAGTGTCGGTGACACAAGATCTACAAAGTCCGCGTTCGACATTGTAAAATGATTCAAATCGCGGGGTATCTTTTCAAAACTCGAAAGACAATTCACGTGCAAACGCGCAACTTGAAATGCGTCACTTTCAAATAAATGGGTGAACCGTGGTATTTTCTAAAGCTGGTAAACGATTCTAACAATCGTATCCGTTGAAACGTTTTACAAAAGAAAATAAAACAAATAATATACTCGAAATTTCGAGAAAAGAAGAAATCATACGTACATTACTCACCCTATAAGCAAAAAAAAAAAAAAAGAAACTTAATTGAATTATTGAGTTAATTGCTTAAAACTATAAAATCAGTGAGATATTTGTTAGCGTTGTACGAACATGAAAATGTGCATGAATGAGAGCGCTGGAAGATGGACGCTGGCTCGTAAACGATTAGATAAAGAAATCTAAAACGATTAAAAACTAATCAATTCAAATTGAATAATATAGAAACCTTCGTTACTTTGTTGTTCGCTCGACTGAGAACCGTTTGTCGTGCTTCTGGCTTCTTCCGCGACTTGTCCCTCGGAATTGGTCGACTCCGACGCAATCTGCACCGTTGAACTCGTCGAAGATACTTCTTCTGCCGGTTCAGACACCGTAGCGTCCGATCCTTCCCATGTCGGGGTCGATTCAGGGGATGGGACAGGACTAGCGAGCGTTACGTTCAGTCTGGATTGAGATTCTGGCGATAGTTCAGCCATGCGAGGCTGCCCATGGTTATGAAACAGAAGGTTTTGTAACTGCGCCTGTTGCAGAATCACAGGCAGCTCGTAATGATGGAAGAAGTATAGCATCGAGTGCTGAAATCATAACAGAAACGCGACTTTTCGTCAATTATCCATAATTCATACTTTCGTTGTCATATAATAAATTAACCGCTCGTACTGTTTACTTAAACATGGAAATAACATGGAATATTTGTTATATAGTCGGCATAGATTTTAAATTATTATATTTGTCAGATAGACCTACGAGTTCCGGCAGGGTTAAGGATATCGTATATCGTAGAACATCGAATAATCCTGATGAACTGATAATGCCAATTATAATGACCTGCCAAAACATGTCATCGCCATGAACGCTATCGAATGCAATTCGAATAGGTTTTATATGAAAAACGAGTTTTCTGTAACTCTAACTTAAAATTCATTTTAGAAATATTTTCACAAAATCTAACCGGAACATTCCATCTAAATTCCAGATCTGGAAGGGTTAGGTCAGTATAAATTTAACGATTTCTTATATTACTTGACATTCATATGCTGGGTAAAAAATCTGTAGGATCGATTCGTATAAAAATTATACGTAGTTCGACTGATAACAGCGTTGAAAGTATTTCTGATTTGTCGCAAGTTTGAAATGGCTACACTTGTTCGGCTCGCGAGTTAGTAGTAGCCACTTCTGCCACCATTGAAGGTGTTAGTACCTAGCACAGGCTGGTGTATATGGGCTCACGATATCGCTTGTTTCTGCGAACTATGTGTATGTCGCTCGTGACCAACAAATTTATATGGAAATTCACCAAATTTGTTCTATACCGATTCTCTCGTTCTCTTCGTACTCTTCGGAATCCCTGCGCCAATCTGTCTCTCCCTCTCTCCCTCTCTCTCTCTATTTCTCTCTTCCCCTTCGCTACCCTTCAGAACACGCTACCGATATCAATACCCTTATTCACCGTAGTTGCAAACATACTACACCTGCGTACAGGGTATGCATAATTTTCAGTCGACGCGAGACAAATAAAAACATTTCTGAAATTATTTAAAAAATCTCGAGTTCGTCATACGAGCCACCCGAATGAATTGCAACATAATGACTCCGTAAAATCACAATTTCCAGGGAATAGTATTTTTGGATACTATGTAATAATTTCTCAAAAACTAGATTTGATGAATGCTTCTTAGATAAATGTAATTCTGGTCATTAATAATAAAAAGTATATACTTTAAAATGAATGAAAAATAAGAAACCATTCAAAAAAAAATTAATCTGGGAGGTGAAAACGTATGATTTTTCTGTAGCATCCTTTCCTTTTCACAGCAGTGTCAATCGATACGTTCTCGCTCGAAGCTACCTGACTCTGGTCGTCGCGAGCATCAGACAGGGAGAGTCCGTCCAGCTCGAAGATACAAATATAAAAAAAAAAGGAAACAAAAAACAACGTCAAAATGAAACACGCAAACCGATAGCTCGAGAACGTCAGAAGAAGGGAAAAGAGTGGCTGAATATGGAAAATAGATATCTCGAGACCGAGCACCTGTCGTCGACATGAAGGAAATGGTATCCACGGTGATTCGTCGGGTATAACGGAACGAATCTGTATCGTTTCAGAAAAAGAAGACGACTCTGAGGCAAAAGCTGGGATCGGTGCTGGGTTGCAGGAACGGGGGAACGCGACGAGGTACGAGATAGGTTCGCTATGCGGAAGGAGAGAAAAAAAATAAGCCCGAGTTAAAACGATGGTTAGGGTGAAAGCAGGTTACCGAGGAAATCGGATTTTCGTTTGCTGGATAATCAACGCCGATGACATCGATATCGGCCGGCATATAATCACGCCGCGGGGCTAATCGCCTGAACTTTGACCTATACAGAAAAGGAACGAGATGGAGGGATAGATAGATAGGGCGGGAAAGGGGGTGGCGGTAGCGCCAGGAATCAAAACGATCCGATTTACCCAGTCGTGTCTTGTTGCCCTCCGGGTTTTTGAATTTTCCAGCGGTTCGCTCTATTCGTAAACTCGTTCCCAGAAAATAATTGTCGATCGTCGCCGCCAGGTTGCTCTTGTTAACAAACCACGCTTAACTATCGGCAGATGTTAATCGTAACTGGTCCAGGACCGGGTAACTTAATTTCCCATCCGAGGAATATTGTCGAAATTCGCGGCGACCAGGCTTACCGTATTTTCCGGTTATTGAATACAACTGAGGGAAATTAGATCCGACCGGAGCAAAATAACTATCTGATAAAAATACAATATATTTTTTTAGTGGAATTCCCATCATTCCAGGTGAAATGGCCAATACCATATTACAGTAAATTTCCGATTATCTGGAATGTTTATAATAAAATCGACAGGGGGTAGGTGCTTAAATTTTTCGACAAAAAAAATTTTTTCAAATCTTTCTAAAAAAATTATTTTTGACTGCGGGGGCCAAGTACAATGATTTTTGGTGAACAGACATACCCCTGAAATCCTACCCACTTTCGAGAGAAAAATTCGAGTAGGTGTAAAAATTTTCGGAGAAAAAAAAATTTCGAATCGTTCTAAAAAAAATATTTTCAGTTGCGGGGGTCGATTGCAATCATTTTTGGTCAATAGACATACCCTCGAAATCCTACGCACTTTCGAGAAAAAAATTCCTTACCGAAAATGTAATGTCTGACCATACCGTTTATATGTTTCACTGAAATTTTTCAAATTTTATCAAATCGATCTAGAAAAATTATTTTCAGGTACAGGGGTCAATTACGATTATTTTTGGTCAATAGACATACCCCCAAATTTCTACGCATTTTCGAGAGAAAAAATTCATTACCGAAAATATAAAATGTGGCCATAACTATTTCTGTAATTTCATTTTCTATCTCAATTCCTCTTAATAAGAACGACAGAACTTTAGAATATGATCGAAAATGTGTTATCAAAATTGTTGATGAATTTATTATCAACAGAATCGAACAGAGATAACAATTCGTATACGAAGTACGATAGACATTCCTTCGCAATTCGTCATCCGTTTGTGTAAATAGAAAATATTCGCATTGCGTATAATGCACGTCCATACTTTTAGTACGCATCTACGTTATGAAACGATATTCCTTCTGTGCACGCGCATTACAGTTTAATCTGTTATGCATTCGTATCTTTTATCGGCTAATTAGCCATTCCATTACACTTTAATGGTATTCAATTTTTCCACGCTAAATATATACATCACATATCGAACGTAGTTATTAACGCCAACAGCTACCTATTGTAATGCCATTATAATAATAACTCTTAATACGCTCATCGCGATGATCTAATTATGATTCATTGGATTATCAAAGTACGCTATCGTATCAGATTACCCAGCGTATAATTGGCGCAGCGAAAAATTTATTTTTGCGTGAAAAATTCCAGCGACTCGTAATACACGCGCGCGTTGTGCCAAAGTCCCTTCGAATTATAACTTTCATTATCATATTTTATCCGCCCGTGTAAAATCGTATCTTCGTCTCGTAATTTTGAAAAGTCCACTCGAAACGAGGTTACAATTAATTTTCGTGCGGATGCACGATACGTTAAACGGCTTATTAGCAGATTTCGAATATTCTAAGAATACAATGCGACAATTGTCAAGGGACGTCCAGGGCGGATCTGATGCAACGAAATTACAATTGAACGGTATTTATGTACGCTCATTGAAATCCTGAGTCGACATTAAATTATTCTCATCGATTGAGCTGTCAGGTGCATTGTCCTGGTGGCGTTTACGCAACTTAAGTTTGAGCGATGGTGGACCCATTGCTGCAGAGCAACGGCTACTCCCTGCTCTTCATTCGCTACCGTCACTGTCAATAGCAGGTTTTTCACCGGTAGCCAATAGGATCCCTCTCTCTCTCTCTCTCTCCCCCCCTCTCTCGCTCTTGTAAAATACTCTCCTTTCGTTTCACCTCGTTGAATTTAGAAACTCGTTATCGAAAAATCAATTATGGGCTTTTCTCGAAAACCCATAAGGCTTTGTATCGGTATTATTAATTGCTGATTAAATAAGGTACAATAAATTTAACTTTTCTACGTAAAATTTCATTCTCTATAAGATTTAATAAATAAACTTTTAATTTATACCTCTTACAATTTAAAGGGTACAATTCAGACAAGCTTACACAAAATTCTTGAAGTTTTTACTTGCCAGAGAATCGTCTTGGTTCGAAATAATCGCTACCATAACGAACTCTGTCTTTTTTACGAAGGTAACGCTGCTATCGTGCGTTGATCACAAGTTCCCCAAGACTATATGAGAAGTTACTAATTTTTCTTCTCCAACACTTTACATTCGTACTCTTGAACCGTAGGAAAGTTATAAACTCCCGGGCATTATAACCTCCTGTGAACGGAACTCTTTAAACTTTGCGTACTTGTCGAACTCCTGAATTGAACTCCTTGAATAACTCTACATTTCCGTAGAACTTCCAAACTCTCGAGTACTATGAACGTATCCTAACTACGTCGAAATGTCGAGTGTATGCAGGACCAGCGCCAAAATTACGCGGACGCTCTAACGAAACAATGATTTAACACCGACGTAGGAATTCTGATATAACTTGTTATTCGAAAATTTAATATAGAGTTCTAAATACATTTCTAAAACAATACGTTGTTTGAGGTGTAAGAATATCGACAAAAAGTATCTCGTTCATCGTTCTCGTAGCTTTTGACAGCTACAATTTTATAATTAAAATTCAATCGACTGATCTTGCTACTTGATTTTATTTCTGCATAATAAAAAGGATACTCGGTTATCGACACGAGGATTATCACAAGTTGTGCCAACGGTGCACAGTCGTGGAAGTTTCTGTTTAACAATAAACAGAGCCGGTTGTTGCCAGGAAGAATAATGCGCGAATATTTCGTTCGGAAGGAGACGTTCTTGCAAACGTGTACTTAGATAAAATGTTTCGGGATTAAGGCACGGGCAGCCATTGCGAATTGCGGAATAATTGTCCTTCGTGTAAGCACTCCTTCGGGAATACAAAAGTTTGCGCGAGAACAGTTGTTCGTTCGTGCTGAAAACGGGCATTAATCAGGAATACTTTGCGACCTACTTGAGAATACTTGAGCGGAGAATAAATATGTTCAGGCGAAGTTAACGCGCGTGCTAGCCCAACGCTAATCAAAGAACTCTCCTCAAACAATGGGCATACGTTTCGAAATTATGTCACATCGTATCTTTCCCCTTTTGCGTTTCGCTTACACATCGATCATTTCTGACATCGTTCCTAAGGAATACTCTAAGGGGCTGCAAAACGTGTTTGTCTTTCAAATTACTTAGCTTCGAATGTTTTTACCGTCGAAACGAATATAATTTCTTCCGCTGTAAATTCCGGAAATCGAATTAAATCGATAAATATATTATCTACTGTATATCTAAATCTTCTAGCTTTTCTCTTCCATTATTTACGTACATATATGTATACATGACAAAACAGGAGTAACTATAAACTCCAATAAAATCCGGGAATATCACAAACCAGAAAAATTATTGGCAAATTGTAGCTGAATATAATACTCATTTTCTTAGTAATATTCTGTTAGCAAAAATAAAATGCTGGTCAATTTGAAAACAGTACAATAATGAGAAATCTAATTCCTTAACGACTGACCAACCGAGAAAAGAATTCCAATCGCACAATTATTTGATAGAAAGTTCTTACCTGTATGAACAGCCAAGATGTGACAAGCGCCAGACTGCTGTACTGCCCATTAAATCGGTAATGGTAAGCGTAGAACGAAAAGTGGTACAAATAGAAGAACCTGAAACAAAAAATAATTACTTCATCAGTAACAAAATTAAAATACAGCAGCGACAATGTTACTTGACAGATTACAAAACTCCTCGGTATTTACAGTACATTGGCAGCTATGCAACAACATGGACCCATTATCGATCAGATCGTACCAGGTTCCTACCTATTAAAATATCGAGGCTGGGGTATTACACGTAACATCATTAAAAATTATATGGAATGCCACGCTTAAGATAAAATATTTGAAATAAATCTTTGTCTTCAATTTGTTCGAAAAAAAAGAACGAGTTTTCCTGAATTACGCATTTGAGATTATTTATTGCTGTTAAGGCTGTATCACGAAAAATATCGAAAATCAAAACTGTCTATCAAGAAATGATTCAAATTTATAGTGAACTGCCAATTTAAAGTTATAACGGTTTCTTTTGGGTGTCTTGTTCGTTTCAATTTATTACAACGTTTGCAAGTCGTTAAAAATAACAGCATGTCGGCCACATTTACGGCGTAATGAAACATTTTTAAACCGGCGAAACTTTCCGATTCCGTGTCTCGAAAAATCATGAAACTTCCTCTCATCGTGGCAAGAATTAATCCTCCTCCGCTTTATGGTAAATAAAACGTAGAAACAGTTTATCTCTTAATCTCCTTCTAACTTAATTACTTGTTACGGTATTTCGTGCCGCCTCGTTTGATGAACAAAGTCGCAAAGATTTCCCTTCGTAATCATTGCCCTGAACTGCTAAAAGTAACGTTCAAGGGATGGGTGAAATTTGAAATACTATTTAAAATTATAATTCGACTAAAATATTATTTCAAACGGGAAATCAAGTTACGACAAATACAATATTTTTATTTGTTAATCTGAAGCGTAAAATAAAATCAATATTTAGTTTAAACTGCCCTTTATTCTATAAAAACAAGTTTTATTGTAACATGAGCATCACCATAATTTTGTTCTTCAGTACGCATAGAAAAACGTTGCATCTGATATTAATGGAATTTTATTATTAACACCCTGTTTTACCCTCTTCTCCGTCGTTCAAAGTATTGCAATTTGTCGACATATTTTAGCTGCGTTCCAAGAGATTTTTAAGTTTAAATTGTTACGCTATTAACAGACTAAACATTTCATCACAATGGTTATACACAAAATAACTGCGTGAGATCGAGTCCTTGCGAATAAGTATGCAGGAAAAAGTATATTCAACAATAAACTCAACATTCCAGATAAGTTTAAAATACTTCCACGATAAACACGCTCGCCACGAAATACACGGACAGCCGTTTTTAAAACGAGTAAGAATATAAAACTATATGCGCCGAGCTCCAAGTTGAAAAACTTCGCAGAAAACCTTGCGAACCTTCGAAAACATCGTTGAATCATAAAATACGTACAAATTTTCGATAAAATCTTGGTCCAAAATTCAGCAGCATCTTTTAAAAAGTTAATTTTTAAATTTGAATGCCAACGGAAACAAAGGAGTTCGTGTTATTTTAACAAAGCTATTCAGATTACAATGTAAAGGAACTACGAAGTTACGGTGTACAACATTAAACTTCATAACAAAAAGAACAGAGGCTGCACGAACTTCCGTCATGCCAAATTCCGAGTTTTGCTCAATGAACATAAAAAAAGTCGTAAGATGACTTTTTTTTTTTTTACTTTTACCCTCATCTTATGGGGACCTTTAAGGTGATAAGGGTGGGGTTGTAATCAAGTGATTTTTACGAGTAGCTGTTACGGGGTTGCCAATATTTGCGGATCGGGGTGGAGTTCAGACTGCAACGCCACCCTTAAGTGAGGAAATTGTGGTTGGGCAAGGGAAGACCGGGAGAATAGCGGAAAAATGGATATTGTGTATCCCCTCGATAAGCAAGGTGACTAATTTCCTAAAGTATATGGCGAAACTTTCTTTCATTTAACTTTCGAGCACGCCGCGAAGGAAGCTACAAATTTCCTATTAAATACGTGAGAAGGTATATTTGCGTCGCCCGCCACTAAATATCGTTACAAAATCTTCATTAACCCCTTTTAAGAAGAAGAATGTGTTCCTGATAAATGATAATTACCAGTTTAGAGGCTAAACAAATATCCCAAATTCTTTAATTTCTAGTTCGTAATTAAAGCATAAAGAAAAAAAGATACGATGAATTTAATATTGAAATAACAAATTTTACATATTGAACATAACCGTGGAGGCTCATGTATAATTATATTTGACGTTGCGTATGAATATTAAAAGCATTCAATTTAAACAGCTCTTATTAATTCTATGCAAAGCGATGTCAGGAAGACCGACAGCAGTAAAACAACCCTTGTATTGTTACAAAATTAATTACTATGGTTAAAGTTCGAATCGATATTTATAGAATCAACAATTGTTATTCTATACTCTAATATTCTATATTCTAATATAAAATCAGAGTAGAAAATTGTTCTGCAAAAAAGGCTGCAACATTATATACTACTACAAACTTAAATTTTATAACAACATTTTAAACTTGTTTCTTGAATACACACATACTGTAATCATATATTAGTTCCATAAATACTTTCATTTAATGACAATTATGATTCGAATTATTATTTGTTATAATGACTGTTTTAATGTTAACAATTTCAATATTTACAAACGTTTGACTAATCGAGAAACTAATAACGAGCATTCTAGTTTGATATTAATAAATAGAATTGTATCGTAGATAAAATTACATTCACAATCGTCACTTAAATTACGAGGACGTTGCTTCTCCGTAAACGATTCTGCCCTGAACACATAACACGCCCGAAATCTTACACAGTGCGAATTTATGTACGTTGAGCAACGGTCCAAAAGCGCTTCTGCATTACGTTTTACGATCCTGTCAGTCGTAAAATGCAGTTTAGGCGTCCGGTCTATTCCGTTTTCGGTATAGTATACGTGTTACGCTCGCATCTAGTAGATCGAGACGAGCTTTGATCAGGCCAAAGATAGTTTAGGCAACTGCATGTAATAAATCTATCCTTTATAGCATCTTGTGCGCGTAAAAGAAAACTATTGTATCTACACGATGTTTGCTATACCGAGGCAAGTGGGAATTTAAAAAATGTAAACGATGAAATATTTACAAGTAAAAGGAATCCATCACCCCATCCGATACACGTGAATTTATTATTCATAATTTTGTTAACTCAAAGAACTAGTAAAATATAACAAATAGATTATCACCACAGCGTCTTTTAATTTAGAATTTGCTTTTGGGAAGTAAATTGGTGAAAAGAAATAGGGAATCACATTATTGATTACTTGAATATTTTCTCATTTTTCAACAGAAAAAAGGAGAAGTCTGATTGGTGAACAAAAAATTAGTGCCTCTATTTCGATTTATGTATAAATAATATAGCTTATAATACAGCAATTTTCAAAGAAAGTTTTATAAAATATGTTCGACGATCAACGGAATAAACGACTCCAAAATCTCAAAGGTACGATTAAAGCAGTAGTGCTGCCTAGTAGAAATGTCCACGCTTGGTCAGACAAGGGTGGATTTCGGGGAACCACGATAAATTCAACGCTCGCATAACAGTCTGATAATTCGATTTTAACGCAAGCACCGAAAAAAGTGGTAAAAACGTATAAAGACAGGGCGATAGAGTGCAGAAGGAAGAAAGATGAGGAAGAATGCACGTTCAAAATCCCCAGTTACGTATTCCGGAGACATAGCGTCTAAAGTGTCCCACGCTCAGGGAACCACAACCATCCGACGACGATTCATAGGTCTTTCCTGAGAATGGAAAAGGTAAAGAGGGGACTGGAGACTCTCCAAACGCATTCTGAATTCACTGAATAGTGCTGCCCCTCTCTCGGATCGCGAAGGATACGCTTGGACTTTAAGCAAGATTTTTACAAGTTCCCAACTTCCGGTCTCGTCCTCGAAATCCCTCGCGCGATTGGCATTACCGACCAGGGCCGTGAATTAAACATTTGCGTACGTACGGTTACACTATTTCTTTTCGCGCGTTGACTCAAACTGTAAACAACACCGAAGGTAGAAAGCAACATTTGTAATTCGCTGTTCATCGTTTTCTCGTCGGTGAGATTTAGGGGTTGCAATACAGGGATCTCTGGGTATTCCAGATCACGCGAAATGGATCCGCCAGGGGATACTTTGTCTTTCGCTCACCTTCTCCGAGGACACAATTCATGGTAGCCCAACGGATCGACAGGATTTACGATATGATAGGTGTATACGATATTCATATATAAGATATAAATCGTACGAAACTCTTGTTCCGAGACAGCCGAGTATCGTTCTCCGTTAAATTCACTCCGTCTCTACCCTCGAATAAATTGAGAAACAGGGAAGCAAACAAACTTCCAAATAAACGTAGCCGCGGTCGAAGACGGAGTTGCGTAACGCGGACGATCGAATAGAGGCGAGTATTCGGCTGGCAAAACCGATATCCCGAAGCGTCCTCCCGCTCAACGTTCAAGCACTTTTTTTTTCCGTATGTCCAGTATATTACCAGAAAATGGTGCACTTAGTAGGAGCGAAGAAAAAAAGTAAGGGAAAACGAAAACAGAGGAAAAGTGAAGGAGGAGGAATATCCTGCAGCGGTGGCCCGATACAGGAAAGAGGATCGCATTAGGTAGAGCCAAGGGCCAAGAGAAGAGGCAGAAGAGGAATAAGAGAACGAAGAAGAAGAGAGAGAGAGGGGCAATGGAGATGTAGCCGTCTCCATAACTGTACGGTCCACTCGACTAACGTAAGTATATTGTCAATCAATCCACGGTATAAAAGCAATCTGAGGTTCGGTCGACGGGGTGGCGGGATCCCGTGGGGCGTGGACGGGCCGAAGGAGCTAAGGATTCAAGGAACAGAGAAAGGAGAGTGGCTCCAGGGAGAAGGGGCACCGAAGGAAGAGGGTAGAGAGTGCAAACAATCCCCTCTCGCTTCTATAAGGAGGAACCGAGCGAGAGAGAGAGAGAACTTGATAGAAAAGGAGAAGTCCTTTACTCTGGCCAC